CGCAGGATTCAGCAGTGTGTGTGTTCAAAGGGGTATCCATGTGGGGCTCTCCCAGCAGCTCTGAATGGAAAGATTGTTCTGACATCATACAGGGCAGATCAGTTGTCCTTCAGGATGTCCAGGCAGATGTTACCAAGAGTGTCCATGTTGGGGTGGTAGCAGGGAGAGGTGAGGAACTTCCCTGTGGGCACATTGTGAGGGTAGCCACTGGGGAACTCCAAGGGAGAGCTTGTCTCTCAGGTCTTCATAGATGGTGCCAGCTGCTCTGTGGATGGTCCCTACCCACTTGTAAAGGTTGTCTGAATCCAGGAAGGCAGAGATTCCTTTGTCACCAGACATGAGGAGAGTCATCAGCTCCTATGGTAGCCTCTTGCCCATGGAACTCCGGGTGGTGCCCCTGCTGGGCTTGGCCCTCTTTGGGGCTGCTAGGACTCCTGCTGCAGCTGGGTCGTGGTTCTGGGAGGTCATTTGCTTGGTGCTGGTAGAGGCAGAAACTCAGAAGACTGGCCAAGGACCACCTTTCTTTGGAATGTGTGCAAATATGGCTCCCTTTCAGTCTGTCGGCTATTTAAGCATCGGACAGTGTTGTCAGGTACTGAAAACCTCATCAACAGCAGCAGATCATTGTCAGAGATAGTGTCAGAAGATGAGCCCCTCAGGTCAGAAGGCTTTCAAAATATGACTGAGGAAGAGTTGCCTTCTCAAAGTAGAGTCCACCATAATATACCAGTGGAGTAAAAGCCCTGGGGAGTAAAGCTTCTGGGACCTTCCTTGACTAATAACGGTGTGACTCAAAATTAGAAGAAATATCTGCAAACATCTCAATAATGGAAACTTGAAATTTATGAAATGGGGAAATTGGAAGTCATCAAAAATGAAGTGGAAGACCTAAAAATCAATATTTTAGGAATTAGGTAACTGACATGGCTGGGTATTGGCCATCTTAAATCGGGAAATCATATTATTTAGTCAGTTGTGACTGACAGATTAAGTGGAATGACTTCACATTCATCATTAAAAAGGATATTCCAAGTTCAACTTAAAGAACAATTCTGATTGTGATAGGACAGTATTTAACTGTATTCAAGGAAATCCAAATAATTCAATTTTTATTTAAATTTCTGTACCTATCACATAGCTGGTGATGCAGAAATTAAAGAGTTCTACAAATATCTTCAGTCTGATATCAAACAAACACACAAGATGCATTACTAAGTACTGGTGATTGGAAAGTAAAAAATGGAAACAAAGAAGGAAAGGTAGCTGGAAATTATTGCCTTGGTGGGGGAAAAGAAGCCAGATATCACATGATAGAACTTTGCAAAACTAATGACTTTTTCAGTACAAATACCTTTTTGCAACAATACAAAAGGCAAGACTATACACATGGATTTCTCCAAATGAAATACACAGAAATCAATTGGAGTATATCCTGGGGAAAAGACAATGGAGAAGGTTACAATATCAGCAGCTAAAACGAGTGCAGGGAGCAATGGTAGAAGAGATTATCAAATAAGTTCTATCAAATAAGTTCAGCCTCTAAATCTTGGTCCTTGTACATTTTAGAGTTCAGAAAAAAACCCAAGCAAAATACACTCAGCATATCCTAAACTAAAAAAAAGAAACATAAAGAAAAAACTCAAGCTACAATATAGAAAGATTCTATGAGTAAAATATCAAATGATTCAGGAAGCATCAAAGAAGATAGAAAGAATATACAGAGTCACTGTACCCAAAGACTTAGTCAACATCCAGCCATTTCAGGAGGTAGAATGTGAACAAGAATCAAGAGTAATGAAGAAGGATGTTTGAGGAGCCTCAAAGAAGGAATCACATGGAAATATTTCAACATCCTGATGAAGCACTGGAAACACTGACTTGTATGTGTGGCAGGAAATGTTGGTAAAAATAATCAAACAACAGGACCAAGCAGGAATCAAAAAGGACATTGGATAAGAGCTATCATTGCTAATACTTGGTAAAACTAGAGTTTACCAGAAATATATTTACTTATTTTTGTTTCATTGATTATGCAAAAGCATGTAATTGTACAGATAATAACATATTATGGATAGCCTTGATAAGAATTGGAATTCCAGAGCACTGTGTTGTGCTCATCTATGCAGCTTGTACATAGATCAAGAGGCAGTTGTGGTCAGAGAACAATGGACTACTGCATGGTTTTACATCAGGGAAGGTGTGGGTCGGGGTGGTATTCTCTCATTATACTTGTGAGACTATGTGTATACTGAGCAAACAACCAGAGACATTAGATTATAGGGAGAAGAGTGTGGCATGAGTATATGCGGTACATGTGTTTTATCATAGTATGTTTTTGTTTTGTTTTTTGAAGGATGCTTATTTGGCAGTACCAAGGAGAAGAAAAAAGTTATACAGGATAAAAAAATATTCCTAACAAATTCATCCTTCACCTATCACGAAATTCACTGCTATTGAAACAATCCTGACTCATTTCAACCCTATAAGAAAAGGAAGAATGGCCCCTATGGAGTCTGAAGATGTAAATCTTTATGGGGGGGGGAAGCGTCATCTTTCTTCCGTGGAGTGGCTGCTGGTTTTGAACTGTTGACCTTGTTAGCAGCTCAAAGCATAATCTGCTATGCCACCAGGGATCCTTTTTGATCTACCACAGTCTTCCTTTAAATTAGTACTTTTATCCTCACCTCATAATACAAGATTCTTAAAACAAGTGAACACCATCGTGGCCTTTTGAACCATATTTTAATTATCTCTGATAGTTGGATAAAATATATTGAGAAGAAACCCACAGGCACATTTCTACCTTGTCTACAGGGTCACGATGAGTCAGAATCAACTGGATGGATGTAACTGAGAGTAGATTTGTTATCCTGTATTTTAGGTTTATTAATTGGCCATGTTTATTCTTGAAATTATTGGAAGTAGTTGTACCAGGAAACAGCTTCTGTTTCATAATCTGTGTGCCTGAGAGTTTGTTTATGTGTGTGTGTGTGTGTGTAAATTCTGTAATAACCTGAACTCTTAGAATCTCTTCTTTATCTATACCCACTGTCTTTATTTTGAGACCCAGGAGCACAACTTTTAGCCTTAGAACAATACAGACTTTTCTGTTTTATTTATATGCCAAGATACTACATATACTAAAGAATAGATCCTATTTGATAAGATTTCTCCACAGTGAATTCCTAGGTATTAAATATTCTAAAATGCCCTGATAGTCTATTCATAGAAATGTTTCTCCTCAGAGGCCATTATGTAAACTTCCTTTCTTAGCTCCTTCCTCTCTACCCCCTGCTTCTCTCCCGTTCATAAGAACTTTTCTCTGATGGACACTTTGATTGCAATTAATCAGCATATGCCCTCACAGAGATCCCAGAAAGACTAAATGTTCCACTTATTCCTAAACCTTCCTCCCATTCTTCCTAGTAGTTTACTACTGATAATGCTGTCTTTCTTTTCATTTATTTTTTATTTTATTAGAGAAAAGCAAATGCAACGAGGCACAGCCATATTAAATGTTTAAGCCTTAATTACAAATGAAAAACAATAGAATACATCATTACCAAAATAATAGAATACACATATTCTCCTAAAACTTCCTTTAACATAGTCACATAAAATCTTGTCATGAAATATGTGCACAGCAATATTAGTCATGTATAACAAGACAGTGAATAAATTAATTACCATATTTCCATATAGCGAAATCTTGTATATCAATGAAAATAAGCAATCAGAATATACACAAATCATCACGAGTCAATCTCATAAAACTAATGACAAAAAATCAAACACTAAAGAGTACAATTTAAACCACTCCTTTGTCAAAAAGTACCAAAACAGAACTAATTTATGGTAATAGAAATAAAGATACTAGTTGCATTTGGGAGGTAGCAATTATAAAGATGCATAAGGACTTCTAACTGGTCCTTTTTGACTTTTGATCTGGTTTCTAATTACATGATAGAGCTTAGCTTGTGATAATTGATGAGATCTGCACATTTGATATGTGCAATATTCTAGTAAAAGGTTTTAAAATTTGAAGGCAAGGTCTTATTTAAGGTTTGAAAATACACACGATCTCTCTCACTGCAATGAAAAATAAGTGATACAATCTTTTGATTTTAAGAAATCAGTTATTTCATGTCATGTGAGCAGAATCTCACCTATTAAATCAGTAAAGAGTAAAGATTATCATAATGTTTAATCTATTGAGAATGTTGGGGCTCAGGGGATGTACTGGACTATGACATGGGCTGCTATCCAAAGGTACATAAGGTGGTTTGAAACCACCAGCTGTTCCACAGGAGAAAAATGAGACTTTCTACTCCTGTAAATAGTTATAGTCCCAGAAACCCACCACGGTAGTTCTGCCAAGTACTATTGGGTCACCAGGAGTCTGCTTCTACTGGATGGCAGTGCATTTTTCATTTTGAGAATGTGGCATACAGAAACACAACACAACAGACAGCGTGGGTCTCTTTTTACTCTCCCCAGTGACTGAGAACCGATTATAGTAAGGGATCCTATTCGCAGTGTTAATTACAAGGAACCTAGCCTGAGAAGCAGAAATGCTTCTGAAAAGTTACTTTCCTTCCAGAAACATTTGAGGGCACCATACTTTCCTCATGGCGTGCTTCATCTCCGCATTTCTCAGTGTGTAGATCAGAGGGTTGAACATGGGAGCAATGATGGTGTAGAAAAGAGCAAACACCTTATCTTCAGGAAACGTTACAGCCGGCCTAATGTAAATGAACAAAGCAGGCGCAAAAAATAAGACCACCACTGTTACATGAGAACTGCACGTGGACAGAGCTTTGCTGCGGCTCTCTGCGGAGTAGGATCTGAGGGTATACAGTATAAAAAAATAAGACAACATCAGAACAACAAAAGTCACCAAAGCAATTAGGCCTGAATTAGCTATTACTAAGAGACCTATCATGTGTGTGTTAGTGCAAGCCAGTTTCAGCAAAGGATACACATCACAGAAGTAGTGGTCTATCTCATTGGGCCCACAGAAGGGTAAGAAGATGGTGAGAAGAAACTGGCTGGCAGAGTGTATAAAGCCCCCAGTACAACAAGCTATGACAATTGTGTGACACTTCTGCCTGCTCATGATGATGGTGTAGTGCAGGGGCTTGCAGATGGCCACGTAGCGGTCATAGGCCATCCCTGTGAGGATGAAGATCTCAATACCACCAAAGAAATGAGTGGCAAAGAGCTGTGTCATGCAACTGTTATAAGAAATGGTCTTTCTCTCCACCAGCAAGTCAGCCATTAGCTTCGGTGTCACCGTGGATGTGTAGCAAAGGTCTGAGAGAGAGAGGTAATTAAGGAAGAAATACATGGGTTTCTCCAGTAGCTGAGTGCAAGCGATAGAAATCATTATGAGTACATTTCCTACCCAGATAGCAATATAGCAAAATAAAAATAACGCAAAGCAGAAAATTTCTATATTTTTGCTTGTAGAAAGTCCTAAAAGAATAAATAGTGTTACATTATTGTTTTTCTCCATGGTCCAATGTATTTAAAATACATAAATCACCTGGAAATGATATTCATGAACTCATCTTTAGAAATGTTCCTGGAGAAGAATGATGATAACAATCAGTTCAAGTTCTTAGCTGGGCAAAGCTGTCTTCCTTTGAATGTCTTAGAGAATAAAACTCAGATGTTCCATTAAAATAGCTCTCTAGTAACACTCTGTGTCTCCATGTACAAGGTTGATTTCCATTAAATCTTCCAGAATATTGTGATCCATGCAAACCTGAGAAGACATGAAAGGTCTTAATAAAGCAACAATATTATCATTTTAATGTAAGGTCATGTCTATATCCAAAGAGGAAGAGGCTCAATTAGATGAATTGATTTAGTGACTGCAACAATGAATGCAACCATAACAGCAATTGTGAAGAAGATGCAGGAACAGTGCATTGTTCCGTGGCAAATCCGCCTACACTGAGTTGAAAGTTACCTAACAACAATGTAATATATAAAATACAAGTCAGCTTCAAAGGTTGGTGGGTAAATTCTATTATCCCTTTATTCCATTTTCTCATGAATATTTTGCAGTTCCCTCATATTTGGAATGAATCTAACCCTTACCCTATCTGTCTCAAAAAAAAAAAAATAAAAGAACTAAGTATAGTTTAAGTACAGAGTACAAAATAAGTATACACTATTACTTTGAAATTGTGTATAAGATAATATGAAATTACTGTTCTACTAATGGAATATACATTTACCTTAAATCCATTTTCAAATTAGGAAGCATAAAAAATAAAATTTACAACCAAAAAATAAATAAAATTTACTAAGCAAATCCACAGGTCAATTAAAAAATTCTATTACTTTCTGTATAATGTTCTCCAATATGTCTATCTCTCCAGCAGGCAATCAAGTCCTCCTTGAACTTACTGTTCTCTCCATGTAAATTTATCTTAGTCTATAACATTAACATAAAATTCTTTTTTTAACTTTTGTAATTAACTGCTCATTATTAAGACAAAAGTAAAAAGATTTTAACACTATTTATTTAACTTATAATTTAATGTAATCTATATTTTAATTTAATTTCATATTGTGCCACATAATAAGAATGAAGAAGTTTACTCACATGTACTCTTCTGCACTTACTTTGTAATTTCCTTTATACATTTTTATGCCTTCTATTGCTAGTCCAGCAATTCTTCACCTACTTAAACGATTTCCATCAGAATCTTAACTTGATATTTTCCTCAAGACAGTCCTGTGTTGCTGATTGGCCTCACTTTCTATGTCCCAACAATGCATGCAGTGAAAATGCACATTATAAACCACCGTTGGAATTACTGCTGGTTGTGAAACTGCCAGTCCAAAGAAACGATTACAGTTACAAAGAAGAGCTCGAAGGCAGGAGAAGAATTTTCTTTTCCAAAACTAGTCAAACCATGATCTATATAGAGTCTGTATTATAATTATCAAATTATTTCTGAAGAATTCCAGGCTTAAATGTGAAATAAAATGACAGGTATATAACCTGTGCCAGAGGTGCATTCATTTCTTCTCAAAGTCTTGCTTATTTCACACAATACCAAACCAAACCTAGAGTGCCTATTGAGTGGATTCCAATTCATAGGCCTGTAAGACAGCATAAAACTGTCCCATAGGGTGCCCAAGGCTTTAAATTAAGCAGACTCTCACATCTTTCCCACAGAGAGACTAATGAACTGGAACTGCTGATCTTGAGGTTAACAGCCCATCACTTTAACCACTGTGCCACCTGGATTAATTATCTGTCTCCAAGTAACCAATTTACCAATTAGCATCATTTTAAGTCCAAGTGACCCGAGTAACAAATCACATAGATTGTGAAGACTGCCAACCAATGGGAACTGGACAGCACTTAGCTGGAACCCCATTCACTACTCTCCCCAGCTCTCGAGAGACTTGATGCTTGAGATCTGTTTCTATGCAGTCTAAGCATCTTTTCCTTTCTCTACAAACTGAAGAATGAACTAAAGTCTGATCCTTATGTCAGGGAACACGCTTTCACCATTCTTATGTAGTTTATGAGGGTTAGGGTAGGGGTATATGTATTGTATGCTTTACATATTTCCATTTTCTCAGAAAATACAAAATTGCAGAACTTTCCTGTCTTTTGGGTGATGGGTACAAAATGCTTAGTAGGAGAGCTGAGCAACTTCTGTTCATTTGGTTTTACCACAGTCCTGAGGGGAATATATAATTGCCATAGCATTTCAGAAATGAAGCAACTAGGATATAACAAAAGCATAAGGCAGGAACGTGATTACATATGTCATCATAGAGATTACATTGAGGAAAAGAAAGAGAGTGTGATTTTGAAAGGACTTGGGCATGCTCTTTCTTGTTCTCATGGGGTTGTATAAATGCTAACTGTATTATTGCTCATCATTGTGTATCTTAATATTATATTGTTTAACAATTAAAAGGATAGCACAATAAAATGATGAAATAAACATTTAAGGATTGACTATGGCCCCCCAAAAATGAGTCTTAACTGCTGTCCTTGAGATTGTGTCCTTGTTTGGAAATAAAATGTTTATTTAAGTATATTGTCAGTTACCCCTGTGGCTCAATTTTCACTCAAGCAATTCCATCGTCATTAAGTTTATTCCAACTCAAAGCGATCATAAATAGGGGTTCAGAAGCTGTAAACCTTTGAAGGAGCATATTGCCTCATCGTTCTCCCTTGGTAAGGCTTGTAGAGGCCAAAAATAAGTAGGTCTATAACGGGAACAATAACACTAATGGGAAAAGCACACCTTAGACTAACCAAACATGAGAGATCAAAGGGCAGTATTTACCTAAGACACAGTTCAGAAAAGTTGGGAAAGAAGGAGAAATATGAACAGGAAACATGGGATTAAGTGTGGGAAATGATGTTGTTTACATTGAGGAGAATTCGATGCATAAGATGAAACAAAATGTATATAAATTGGTGAATTCAAAATGAATGATCTGTTGTTAACCTGCGCCCAATTCACAAGATACATTTTATTATTTTTATTACTATTTTAAAGTTTAGTATTAATTGGGAGTTAGTGCATATCATTCTGTAGCCCAATCGTCGCAAACAGAATTGTAAAATTGCTACCACAATCAGTTTCCAACCTTCTTTTTATTCCTGGACTCCTTGACTGTCGTCTCCTTTTACCCTCCCACCACCACTGTACCCACCACCCCAAAACCCTTATTCTACTTGCTGTCCCTATAGTTTCATAAATCATGGGTTTCATATCACAAAACACATAAAAATATGTAATACAACTTCATAAGGGTGACGTGCAATGGCATAAAACCTTGGAGATACACCCTAATATAAATAAACAAAAACAAAACAATTCAAAAATACAGAAAATGTTGAAAACCAGAGAGAATCAACTGAGAAAGTTTTAACTGCACAACATACATTTTAAAAAAAGATGTTGTAAGTTAAAGAAGTTATATTAGATCAGTCCTAATCCCTTCTGAGGTTCCTTTTACAAAAGAAGGGACAGACAGAAAAGTCAAACTGAAGCAGGACACACGGAAAGTGGAGATGTATATAACAGGCAAGGAACAAGGGAAGCAGGAAAGACGTGGAGGTTCTTCTGGAGCAGACGCAGGTAGCATGGACCCCCCGATGCCCTGAGTTCACAAAACTGGTCTCCAGAACTGTGAGACAATATGTTTTTTGTTCTTCAAAGCCACCTGATTTGGAAGATTTCGTTATGGCAGCCCTAAGAAACTAAGACAATCATTAAAAACCAAAGTCCAAGACATTGGAAATGAATGCACACTATAAATGCCCTGCCTTCAAAGGACTAATTACCAAAGGATTAAGGAAGATCTACACATAATCAGTCTAATACCTACAATCCAATTGAACTTCTAATTTTTCAAAGTTTCCCTCTTTTCCTGCTAAATGCTTCCCCAAAGCTTGAGTTAGGCATCTCCTTCTTAACTTATAATTTTCCCCATAACATCCCACACATTTGCCTGCTGTTTTCTAACAGATTTATGCTTTCTAGCTATAGTCGTTTACTCAAAAGTTTCATCTACTCAATGACATCTCTTTTCCCTGCAGATAAAGTATTTTGATGAAGATAGATATGGTTATGGATATGGATATGAATATAGATATAGATAGATGATAGATAGATAGACAGTTTTACTGATCTCTTTAGAGAAACCTTGAAATAGTTCCTTAGGGTTGTAGTTTAGGTTCAGATGAAGCTTTCTATACCATAGACAGTCACCGTCTCAGAAACTCACAGGAGCAATTCTGCTCTGTTCCTATTAGATCAGTATAATTTAGAATTCACTTGATGGCAGTGAGTTTGTTTTGTTAATTGTTTTGTTTTTTGAGAAGTGGTAGGCATATATCTAGCTATGTTTACTTTTTTAATTTGTATATCCAATTGTTCTAGCACATTATGGGGAAAAAGCTAAGCGTTTTCTATTATATTTAGATCTTTGTCATAAATATAGACAGGCTATCATTTACTTCTGGGTGTTCCATTTATTATTGATAATTACAACTTCATATGGAGGCTTTAATCTGGGTGATATGGGTTCTGAAATTTGTTTTAATGTTTTACATTTTTTTGGCTATTCTAGTTCCTTTGTCTTTTCATGTAAATCAAGGAACCACCTTTTTGATATCTTAGCAAAAGCTTGTTGAGATCTTGATTACATTATGTTGAACATGAATAAATATGGAAATGGATGCTAGATAATTTGTATGTCTGTGAAATAGTTAAAAGTAGACAAACTAATTTAAAAAAAGAGTTTGGTTTTTTAATTTTTATTTTATTATTTTTTAAATACTTTCATTGGGGGCTCTACATCTCTTATCACAATCCATACATTTCTCTGATGTGTCAAGCACATTTGTGCATATGCCACCATCATAATTTTCGAAACATTCTGTTCCCACTTGAACCTCTGATATCAGTTCCCCATCTCTCCCACTTCCGTCCCCCACCCAACCTCCCTCACGAACCCTTGATAAGTTATGGATTTTTTTTCCATATCCTACATTGTCCTCCATCACCCCTCATCCTCTTTTCCATTATTCGTCCCACTGCCAGGGGGTTCTATCTTCATCCATATGATCGATTCCACTTTTCTCCCCCCACCCTTCCCACATGATGGTGGGACAAGATGGAAGTAAAAAGAAAATAGAGGAAAGAACCAGGAGGCAAAGGACATTTATGGAGGCCTAAATACAGGCATGAATACAGGCATGTGCATATGTAAATATATATATATATTCAGAGGGGAATAGAACTATGTACTCATATCTATATGTTAAGAATTAAGGTTTCAGATGGACCTGAGGCCTTAAGTACTCCCTTAACAGAAGAATACTTTGTTCTAACAATCTGGCATTTTGTGATGCTCACCTTCCTGACATGATCACTGAAGACAAAATGGGTGCACAAGCAAATGTGGTGAAGAAATCTGTAGACAATGGGACATCCCCTCACAGAGGGGTCACACGGAAAAGATGAGACGGTCAAGCTTTAGTATAGCACTGATGAAACACAACTTTCCTCTAGCTCTTTGATGCTTCCTTCACCCCACTATCATGACTTCAATTCCACTTTCAAATCAGATTACACAGAGCATGCACACTGCTACAGATAAGAGGCTGCAACACAGAATAGATAAACCCCTCAGGGCCAACAAGGAGAGCAGAAACAGTGTTTTCCTTATAAATATTTTCTCAGTATAGTACCATATTATTGTGAATAGCCCAAAAGTCATTTAATGCGGTTAACTCTTGCTACACCACCTTAATGTCTCCCCCAAATCAAATGTTTCATACTTTCACATAGATTAGTATTCATTGATGTTCTTCAAACATTAATTTCATTTCTGTTAGTTAATCCTTTCATGATAGAAATGGAAATATAAACTTTTTCTAGCATTTGTATTTTATAATAGGAATTTAGCTGTTAGTCTTCTTGAAGTTAATTGCATGCTTCTTTTGAAAATTATTTTGACACCACACTTTTCTCATGGCATTTTTCATCTCTGTATTTCGCAGGGTATAGATTAGAGGATTGAACATAGGAGCGATGATAGTGTAAAACAGAGCAAATATTTTATCCTCAGGGAAAGTGGTAGGAGGTCTAAGATAGATAAATATTGCTGGAGCAAAAAATAGGAGCACCACCGTGACATGAGAGCCACAGGTAGACAGGGCTTTGCGCCTGCCCTCTGCTGAGTGATTTCTTAAGGTGAATAATATTATCACATACGAAACAACTAAGACAAGAAAAGTTACTAAGGCCACCATCCCTGAATTGGCAACCAAAAGAACACCGATGATATAGGTATCAGTACAGGCAACTTTTAACAAAGGGAAGACGTCACAAAAATAATGATCGATTTCATTCGGACCACAAAAGGGTAATGAGATGGCCATAAACAATTGTGGAAAGGAATGGACAGCCCCACCGGCCCAGGCAGCTAAGACAAGAAGATGGCACCTTGTCCTGTTCATGATGATCATGTAGTGGAGAGGTTTGCAGATGGCAACATAGCGATCAAAGGCCATGGCAGTAAGAATGAAGACCTCAATACTGCCAAAGAAGTGCACAGTAAAGACCTGTAGCATACAATTTCCACGAGAGATGGATTTTTTCTCTACTAGTAGGTCACCAATCAATTTGGGTGTGACACTTGAAGTATAGCAGATGTCCATAGAAGACAAGTGGCTAAGGAAATAGTACATTGGTTGTTGAAAAAGGGTACTGCATCGAATGGAAAGAAGTATCACAAG